AGTTAGCTTGTTGTATGATGCCAGCCAGCTATGACCATATTGTAACAGACCATGATGTGCAAGCCATTTCTGAAGTTGGAGCTCTTGATATGAATTGCATTTTTGTAAATTTTGCTGCAGAAACTCTCATTTGAATGGGGGCTGTGGGAAAGGAGAAAATGATATTTTCCTCCTCTGGAATTCCTATGTGCCATAAAAGAGAAACCTGAAGGTGTGTGTGTGTGTGTGTGTGTGTGTGTGTGCGCGCGCGCGTGCATGCGTGTATATGCATATCTATCTATCTATCTATCTATCTATCTATCTATCTATCTATCTATCTATCTATCTATCTATCTATCTAGTTTTACATTTTGTGGCTAAAAGTGCTTTGTGTTTTGAGTGGAGCTTTGTCACACAGAGGAATGTTTAATTTCTCATACATTATATCCCTGTTCCAGTCAAGAAGTCATGTGCTTCTCTTAAAAAGCAAACTATGAAATTCTCAATACATTATGACTACCAGGCATGGGCTACAAAAATCTGAATGGCCATCCCCATTTATACTTTGCATACACAGAGAGAGAGAGAGAGAAAGAGAGAGAGAATGTGTCTGTGTATGTATATCTATCATATTGTATATTATATAATATATAATGAAAGTGTTGTTGCAAAATATGGCTATACAAGTTAAAACAGGCTTGGAATTTAATTTGCTGTGTTACTAGGATGAAAAAAAAGGAACTCATTCTGGAATCTGCTTGGCAGTGAAACATTTTACTTGTAAGACAGCATTATTCCTGACCAGCATGCTCCCTTATTGTTGCAAAATAAAGTGAGTCATTCTCTTAATATGAGTCAGCTAGGAAATGATTAGCTACAGAAGACTCCCCCCTCTATTAAAATAATGAATTTTGGCTTGTATTCTTACTTGACTTCGAGGGTATTGGGTGATGATCTCTGTTTAAAAAAAATCACTTCTTTTTTCAATGCTCATTTAGTGCTGTGTCTTCCTTCTAGAGTTACAACTTGTGTTGAGGCCCATCCTGATGTCTAGCTCTTTAAAAGTTTTTCCCACCTGGGCAACTGGCCCAGGAACTTTCTGCTTGTGGTATGACTTGTTCCTTTCTGGGAAGAATTGCTCAGGACTGGCTGCATCTCAACAGCTTAGTTGGGATGGTCAAAGAGATCCATCTGCCACAAAGAGGGAAACTGCCGGAGCAGAACAAAAGGCGGAGCAAGTCAAAAGCAATTTTAGCATTTGCAAGTTATTGTCATATATCACTTAAAATAGGAAAGGGATGAACTGATTAGGAGGGGGAAAAAAAGTTGTTCCTGACAATAAGGATTTCCCCCCATATTACTTTCTATATGAAGGGTCTACAAATTTGGCAAGTTTTAGACTTGTGGACTTCAACTCCCAGAATTCCCGAGCTAACATGACTGGAGGAAGAATTCTGGGAGTTGAAGTCCACAAGTCTTAAAACTGTCAAGTTTGAAGACCCCAGAGATGGTATTCAGCAGGTTCTGACCAGTTCTGGAGAACCAGTAGCAGAAATTTTGAGTAGTTCGGAGAACCGGCAAATACCACCTCTGACTGGATGTTTTACAGTACCCTTCCCCTGCCACGCCCACCAAGCCACACCCATAGTAAAAAAAAATTGAATCCCACCACTGGAAGACCCGTTCTATATGTATGTCCTGGAAGCAGAAACATGGTTAGAATAAGAACTGTGGTGGCGCAGTGGTTAGAATGCAGTATTGTAGGCTACTTCTGCTGACTGCCGGCTGCCAGTAGTTTGAATCTCACCAGGCTCAAGGTTGACTCAGCCTTCCATCCTTCCTAGATTGGTAAAATGAGGACCCAGATTGTTGAGGGCAATGTGTTGACACTGTAAACAGCTTAGAGAGGGCTGTAAAGCAGTATAGAAGTGTAAGTGCTATTGCTATTTGAAAACTTGTCATTTTTCACTGGATAAATGCTTGTTTATTTAACCATGAGGTGCACTGAAAATATTTCACCCCATCCTGAAAACTACTTGGTACTATAAGGAAGAAATTGATATGGGCCTGAAATATTTAAGATCCAATCTCTATTTGGAGATTATCTCCTGATACATATCTTAAAACGGTGTATCGGCAGGAGGAAGTACAAGGAGCATGGATGGTGTTCCCTAGTTAGGGTAATGAAAACAAGTTCAGACCACACCTAGGACCCCTCAGTATAAGGAGTCAAATATCTCAGTTGGTCAACCCTGAATAAGATAACCTTCAAGGGATTGTACTGACGAAACCTACAAGACTGACCACCTAGGGAATTGAAATATTTGATTCTAAATGTATTAACAGCGGCTAGGATTGTATTTGCTAAAAACTGGAAACATGAGAAAATACCGAAGCAGGAGGAAGTTATTAAGAAAATAATGGAATGTGCTGAAATGAGTAAATTGACATTTGAAATTAGAGAACAAGAAGATAAACAATTTTATAAGATTTGGGATCTATTTTATCAATGGTTAGAAAATAAAATATGGTAACGAAATATGTAGAATTTTACAATGCAAGGAGAATAGAATTATACAGAATATAATATAAAGATGTATCATTACTGGATGGATTTAGGATGATAATATGAATTGTTATAATATAAATCAATTTAAAAATATAGAATATCTCGCATAACATGAAGGAATAATAGTATAGTCAAATGAATGATTAACAATGATAATAAATGTATTCAGAAATATTTGATTGATAATATGAGAATATATACAAACAATTGTGAGGACTATGGAGAAGATGCACAAAAAATTTGTAACCGACACACTGTATATACGTTATTGGAAGATGGCTTTATGTTTTTATGTTTTGTTTGTGTATGTTTGTCTACAAATAAAAAAATTCTTAAAAAAAAAAAAAGACCGACTACCTAAACTCTAGAGGTTTACTTTCAAATCATGCAGAGACTTCTCCTTGAGATTTTGGTCTGCTGGACCAGGACAATTAGGTGACAGTATTTAATCTGAGTTCATACTGTGGGTTTGGAATGCTATCTGTTCCCTGCCCCGTTTGACCAAGCAAATAAATCTCATCCCTCTTTGCAAACAAAAAGCAGCATGTCAAGAAAAAAACGTTATACACAATTTACATTACTGACTGCTAGTTGCAGTAGCGTTTACCCAGGGAAGTGTCCAAAAATATTTGCCCCTTTTCTGGATGAAATTTGATCCAGTCTGAAGTTGTGTAGTCCTATTCATCATCTCTGAACTCGAAGTAGCCAACTAACTAGCAGTGTTGCAACAGGAAGCCCAGAAGAGCATTTGGATGGGGTGGTGATGGCAGTGGTGGTGGAATCCAGCAGGAACATTTGGATGGAGAGAAATGAGGAGTTGCTCTATAATATACGCCACACTTCCTCTTCCCTTTGGCCCACTAGGAGTTTCCAAATGCTGTTTCTAGAGTACATTCTTACTCAGACATAACTAGACCCCATGCTTTCAGAGGACTTCAGTAGTGACAAACCTAAAAAAGTCCTTGTTCATCTCCAGATGGTCATGAATCAGGGGAGGGCAAATCAGCCCGTAACAATCTTGTTTGTCCTTGATTTCTTAATGAGGGGGAGGGATGGAAGGGGAAGAGCCCAAATGCAATTAAAAAGTGTGCAATCCTTCCTAAAGGATTCACTTTTGGAGTTCCACTTGTGCTTGGAACCACTCCTCGATTTTCTTCTCGTTAGGTAAGAGTTTCATAATTTTAATGGGTGTGCATGTGTATGCGTGTCTGAATATAGCAAAATTAACCACTTCATAAATGCTTGTGGGCTTAACTGCACATTCATATAAAATCCATCTGTGCACAGTTTGACTATTTAGTTGCATGCAGTTCCTGTTTGGGGAAGAAAACTTGCGCAACTTTGCTTGGAATGACAATCCTTTTCAATCCTGATGTTGATGTTCAATCAGCAATCCCTCCAGCACACTTCCGAGCAAGTGCTGTTGAACAGAGTGAAATTTAATCTTCAGTAAACATACATAATCTTTGTGCTGCACAGGCATGATGCAGCTCAAACAAAGACGTTTTGAATTCCAACGTCAGGAACAGTTGGATAGCTGATGACTTTCTTTCAGGAGAGCCTTAAAGACACAGAAACAAAACATGATTTCTAGAAGCGACCGTGTGAATGGGTTGCAACACATCAAGAACTTGCTACTTTTTATTTATTTATTTGCGCGTTTATTACGAATCTCTCCAGCCTGTCCCTCTCCAAACACTTCGGACTCTAACACTTATTATCTCCAAGCTGCTCGGCAGAGTGGCTAGTAGTAGTAGAAGTCTATCTGATCAGATGCATTTATCTTCAAGCGGCAGGTTTAGACGTGCTACGGAAAGCGGGGAAAGGGAGGGGAAAAAAAAGGTTAGATGAGAGTCAAAACCTAAAATCAAAATCAATCCGATGAAAGCTTAGAAAGATCGGAGGAGCCGATCGTGGTTTATACGCCTCGTTAATAATGATGATCTCAGGAACGTCAGAACTAGGAGAAAACTAAACTTGGCTTGAAAAGTGAACGCAAGATTGCCTTGGAGTGAAAGTATTCGGCCGGCCGGACCTCAGCCGAAACTGGATCAAAACCTGAAAGTTTTGCCTCCCGAGGTTCTCGCCAAAGCCGGATCCGGGCCAAACGACCGCGAGGAAACAAGCTCCCAAACCTCGCATCGCGTTCCGACGACTCCTCTGAGGGAAGCGAAGAATCCGGAGCAGAGCGAGAGGAAGGAGGCGTTTCCTCCGGGCAAAACGCTCTCGGTGTCCATCATCTCCCCAAACCCCGCCCTCCAAGCCAATAGCAGACTCGAGACGCTCCGATTGACGGGCCCGTGCGCGAATCCACCCTCCTCCTCCTCCCACCCCCTCCCGCAGGGAATGTTTCTTTCCTAGCACGGGGTGGGGGTGGGGGGGTTGGTTTAACCCAAGGAGTCCGGCCTCGGCGACAACTCGCTGCGCCTATCTTGATGCTGGACACCCCCCCTCCCCCCAATTGGAGTGTCCAACTGAGCATCCGAGCGTTGGCGTTTCCCTGTCCGGTGCTTCTCTCTCTCTCACTTCCAACACCCCCCTCCTCCACCAACCGGGCAAAGCGGGAGGCGGAGGGCGACGCTGCTGCGCGTGGAAGCGCGGCGGAGCAAAAAAAAAAAAAAAAAAAAGTTTGCAGGAAGCAGCTTCCTCCGACTCGCAACTTCTGCCTTGACAGATCTCTGGAGAGGAGGCGGAGGAGCAGCGCGCCCCGGGTTCCTGCGCGGCTCCTCGCGAAGGGAATCCCCGTTTTTTCCAAGCCTGCGTGGTAAGAAGGATGCTGAGGGTTTGTTTTGGGGCGGGGGGTGGGTGGGAAGGGACCGTCCCTTTGCGCTTCTCTCCCGGCCGCCCGGGAACAACAGCCCAAAACACGCGCGGGTCGGCTCCCTCCCCACGCGCCTTGGACCCGAAATGGGTGCGCGGACGTGTGGACAAAACGCCGAGGTTTCGTAGTTGAAAGCCGCTTGGCCGGCGGGGGAAGGAGAGGAGAGGCTCCCGCGGTGCCTTGCAGGGCAGGGCAGTGGAAAAGGGAGGTTCGGGGCTGAGGGGCAGGGAGTGCCTGTAGGTCTCCCTCCGGTGGGGGGGTCCCCGTCCCCCTCATGAGAGATTGGGACGGGAGAAGCCGGATCTCTCAGCCCTTCCACCCCCGAAAGTTGCTTTGATCCGCAGGGACGGGGCGCTTCGGGAACTCCGGCGGTGAAGCTGGGAGCCCCCCCCTCCCCCCCCCCCCCCCCCGCGGACGTTTGACAGCTTCCCCGGCGGCTAGGATCGCGTGTTGCGCCCTGCGCTTCTTTTTTGGGATCGCTTTGCTGGGAATGCATGCAGGTTGTGGGGTTATTCAGTAAATCGTGGTTGAAATAAAACCCCCGCGCGACCTGTGAACTCGGCATGTGCTTTCGGGACAGCCTGCCTTGAACGGTGCCATCAGATCCTTTTCTGGGAGGATTCCTCCCCCTCCCCCCAAACGATCTGACTTAATAATTCTGCCCATTAAGCTTTACTCCTAAAGTAGGATTGCAAGACTTTTGGAGCAGCGCTGGGGAAAAACAAATAGGTTGCAGTGCCAGGTGCAAGCGAGTTACCTCCGGTTTTAGTGCAGCCTAGCCATGTGCAGTTGCTCTGGAATCAAGGTGTTGCACAGTGCCGTGGTGAGCTGCAACTCCTATCTAAGAAGATAATGAATGTTATAATGCATTTACAGGGTTGCCAGATTTTAGGGGGAAACCTGATCTTAAAAATAAGCTAACGGGTCCCTTATTTTGATTGCATGACACACATACACCCTTACAGATTTAGACAAGCTGCCGAAGCAATTACATTGTGTTAGCATGTTATTTACTATTACACAATTATTATGCACTTGGCTATGATTATAGGCTTGATTTGAAAGCATCTGAACTATGTCACCCTTACTATGTTTAGATCTTGATAAATGCTCTTAAACTTCAGGGACTGACTTCTTACTTAACAGCAATTCTTCACTATTTTTAAACCGCGCAGCAAAAACTACAAAACGCTGCAATTTGGTTCATGGATTGTTAAATCATAATGGCTTTATGATCTATTCTAATTTCATATGCTTCCTAAAAAATCCCAGGTTCTATGTTCAGGAAGGTGCCTGGCTTTTCTGTGTCTCCCTGGGCAATTTTGGTTGCGTGGACCCAATAGATTCAACTAGAAACTTGGGTCCACTTCTTTGGAAATATGTCAAAATAAACTTGATTGAATTTACTCCACATAAACTAACAGGGGGATGAACAACTAGATACCCATTTTACAATTGCTAGGTGATATTACAAGGGAGCAGTTTATGGCATTATTGTAAGCCCATTTTTTTCAGGAAGGCATTATGTGTGGGATGCAAGTGTATAGAACAGTGCTGTGACATCACTCCGCCTGAGGTGGTGTGATAAATACTCCTCTAGAGACAATTACAAATACAATCAGCTAAATAGTCAAACATCCCACCAGTGTCATCTCAAGACAAAAGGGTTTGTTGATACATTTTTGGATGACATTGGCTTTTGTGGTTTGGTGATTCAATGTAAGATGCTTTTTAGATAACAAAGCTTAATGACGATTTTAAGATTTATTCCTGCAGCCATCTCTGTTGTTAATGCTCCGCTGTAGTTTTAAACAACTTTGCATGCTTTTGACAGGAATTTCTTCACAGGTAGTCCTCAATTTGTGACCACAATTGAGCCCAAAATTTCTGCTGCTAAGTGGGACTAGGTGAAATTTCCCCTAATTTACAACCTTTCTTGCCACAATTGCTAAGTGAATCACTGCAGTTGTTAACAACGTGGGTGTTACAGTAAATGAATCTGGCTTCCCCAATGACTTTGCTTGTCAGAAGGACACGAAAGGTGATCAAATAACCCCCTTTGTGCAAAGAATAACAGAGTTGGAAGGGACTTTGTAGGTCATCTAATCCAACCCCCTGCTCAAGCAAGAGACCCTATACCATTTCTGACAGATTCTTGAAAGCTCCCAGAGATGAAGCACCCACAACTTCTGAAGGCAAGCTGTTTCCATTGGTTGATTGTTCTTACTGTCAGGACACTGTCAGTATCCCCTAGGACACTGCCACCAACATAAATATGTGCCAATTGCAAAGCCTCCGAATTTTGATTTTGTGACCACGGGGATGCTACAGTAGTGGTATGCGTTGAAAACTGGTCATAAGTCACATTTTTCATGGTCACTAAACAAATGGTTAAGAACTACCTGCATTCATTTAATTAGATAAATATCCTGTCTTTCATTTAGGAGCTGAAGATGGCATATAATGCTTCACCCTTTCATTTTTGCTCACAGCAACACTGTGTGGTAGATTGGGCTGAAAGTTAGGGTTACAGTAGAATCTGGATGTGGCTGAGCAGGGCTAGCTGAGGGATTCTGGGAGTTGAAGTCCACAAGTCTTAAAAGTTGCCAAGTTTGGAGACCCCTGTTTTAAACAGCCTCTCTTCCATTCAGAATATTCATAGTAACTAACTGGGGATTCCTACTTTAAGCAAGGCCAAAATGTGAATCCAGACCGTTTTTATTTGTTTGCTTTTGCTAATCCTTATTAACTAAAACACCGCTTAAAGGGCTACGTGAATGCAGAGAAGGACATATTGGCATTGCATGTACCAACATCTGGGCTAGATTATATGGAGTAATTTTAGGATAGGAGATGTTAATAGAATTGCTGGGGGGATAAAATTCTAGCAGGGCAAGCCTTTTTATCTTTTAACCATGAAGGCAGATTTTTATTCTCAGTGGATCAAAATGTATTTGCTCATCTGTCGTTAAGTAGAAGGTTTTCCCTTACTATTTACCATTAGCTGGTAGAGTCAAGGAAGGTAATGCTGCTTTAAGAATGAGCAGCTGGAGCAGTATTGCTGGGCAGATGTTTCTAAAGGTTTGCTGAATTTTGTCTATGAAGGTTCTCGTGTCCACTTTTAGCATTGGCACTCCTTGGTTCAGAAAGCAATAGCTGTTTTTTTTCATATCAGTACTTTGCTTATGCATTTCAATTAGATTTGCCAACTTCCCCTCCTCACCCTGTCCAAAAAGCAGGGTGTTTGTGCAACAACTGTAGATATTTTGGAGAGAAAACTTCTTCCAGCCTCTGGAAATATGGTGATGGAAAAGCTTTACCCACAAAACAGCTGCTTGGCACGCAGCTGTAACAAGCTTGGGAGCCCTGCTGGGATAATAACTTATTAGCTTTTGAAGTATATTTTTAATTGCATTTATTTCTGAAGCTACAGTCCTTGTGGGAGGCAAGTCCGATTTATCTAAACAAGACTGGACTTTTATATAAAAATTCACAGGAACAATATATGAGATTTTGATTTGGGGACTGTGATGGGCTTTTGGTTTTTAATGTTGCTTAAAAGTGTGTGAGAGCCAGTTTGGTGCACAGAATATTGTTCCAGGCTAGAAGACAAGAGACTGTGAGTTCTAGTCCTATCTTAGACACGAAACCAGCTGGATGACCATAGGTCAGTCACTTTCTCTCTGCCCTAGGAAACAGGCAATGGCAAATAACTTCTTAAAAATCTTGTCAAGAAAAATACAGGGACTTGTCCAGGCAGTCACTAGGAGTCAAGGATGTCTTGGAAGGCAGAAGTTGTATACGTACTTCGTATATATTCAGTAGCATACAAAATATATTCTTGTGCAGGTATCATAGTGAAGAAGCCATTCCAAAAATATAAAAATGTGCTTGTTCACAGATAGAATGCAAGATTTTGTTGATAATATCTCATTTTTGTCTAAGAAGAACTAAGTAGTGAGAGGGCTGCAATATAACTCACATGCTTTACGTTATAAAGACTTGCTATCAATCTAGTTTAGTCACTGACAAAGAATTGCAGTGGAAAGGTTGTGTGGATAGGAGCCGCCAATAAGTACAGACATGGTAGCTTATTCAGTAAACCTAGCTATAGTGTATTTGGTAAACCACATTTAAGCATTTTAAATCATATCTGGTAAACCACAATAACAAGAGTTGCTTCGTATGCTGTGCTGAAATCAAGCAAACCAATTTATGGCTTGATGTGACATGAGAACCAGGCCAATACAAGGGCACATGGAAATCAGCCCTTACCTGTTATAAAGCAGTCTTCTGTATTTCCATGAATAACATGGGCTGTTAAAAGCTGTCATAATTATGTTGGATATGATTGCCCAACTCATTTTGATAGTTACTAAATAATTATTTTAATGTATTAGGGCGATATTCCAAAGTTGCTGTTCTCAGTTGGCAGTCTTTAATTAGTCATAATTCTCTTAAAAACACCGAACATTTATTTGCTATTATTCACAAGATTAAACAGCAAGCTCATACATAGCACAAGGTGTTTAATATACTGTTTAAAGAAGATGTAATTCAAATACTGTACCTCACAGTATTTCAGTTATTTAAAAAGCCAAGACATTAGTAATGTCCTCTCATTTAAGATTTCTGTAATATCAGTGGTTGAATGGCAGATATTTGTAAATTAGCTAATTCCCTACTTCGTGGTTTGCAGCCACATGAACGGCTGAGAAATCAGAGCAAGAAGTTTACTGGCTTATTGGAAGAGTTTTGCAATAAGGCTTTGAAGAAAATTGCAGCCAAGGATCTTTGAGTTTGGAATTTGTTTTCCCCCAATAGGTTTCTTGAGCAGAAAGATATTGACCCTGAGGGCATGTTACAAAGTTTATCTCTTTTCCCAGGCTTCCTCTGAGGAAAAAAAAAAGGCTTTCTTTGATTGGGGAGAATCTTTGGGTCAA